GGAGACAACGAGAGGTAGCAATGCTCCATGGCGAATCAGGCAGGCCTAGGCGAGGGTCGAACCAGGACAAAGGCGAGTCCAGCGGCAGGGAGAGGGCGCGGGGCGTCCCCACCGAGGCTGAGGCAAGGACGGGTGCAGCGGGGACCGGTGGCAGCTGCCGGGAGACTTGGGATGGGCGGAGCGCGGGCGGCCGGGCTTGGCCGGAGGCGGAGCAGGAAGGCGCCGGTGAGGTCCGCGTGGTCCGGGTCCCCGGCGCCCCGCGGGGGACACGTGCTCCGGTGCATCCTACCCTTGTCGCCACAGCTCCTGCCGCAGCCCCTGCCCCGGGCCCCGCCCTATTATACGCGGTCCGGGCCAGGCCCGTCTGTGTTTCTGACGCGCTCACCGCTGTCGCCTCTGTGTCGCCCCCTCTAGGCCCGCGGCTCCCCCGGCCTGCGATCCCCGGCTCCGACCCTAATCCTGACCCGACCCTGCCGCACGATGCAGCCCCCGGGCCGGGCGGCCGCCGAGGAGGCCGCAGGCCGCGACTTGCTGGCTGCCGACCTGCGCTGCAGCCTCTTCGCCGCCGCGCTGCGCAGCTACAAGCGCGACTCTGCGCTGCGGCCCTTCCCTGCTTCCTACGCCCGCGGCGACTGCAAGGACTTCGAGGCCCTGGTGAGTGTGCCTGGCCGGGCCAGCTGGCCTGGGGAACCATCTGTGTCCGCAAACACGCCCAGCCCCGGATAGAGCATCCGCAGCCGGGCCTTGGGAAGGTCTCCACCAGCGGAGAACTTAAGTCCTAACATCCTCGTGTTGACTGACACACTCACTCCTGTTACCTGTGGCTGCTTCCTCGGGCCAGTGACAGGTGACTCTTGGGAGTACTTGAGGCATTTCATACTTGCATGGGCTACCACAAAAATCCACTCAGGTGTGCAGGTGTAGGCCTGTAAACCCAGCCTTGGTAGGCTGAGGCAGGAGAATCGCTGTGAGTTCCGGGGCAGCCTGGGCTACATAAGGAATTCAAAGCCAACCTGAACTGAACTACTTAACAAGACCCTGTCTCAAAACGAAACAAAATTTCTAGCCTGACTGGCGATGGGATGTTGATCTGAACCAGCTATTTGCCTAGCCAGGAACTTATCCACGCCTTTATAAATAACGAGACACCAAAAGCCACTGAGGCCATCCAGACTTTGACCTTAAGATGAGGTAATGTACGGTCATTGCTCTTAAAAACTGTAACGCAGGGCATGTGACGAACTGCTTCTCTGCTGATTCACAAGAATTTTAATGGCCTGCAGAGCTCCTGTTAGGCTCAGCATTCCAGCTCTCAGTTACTTTTGTCAGCCAAATCTTTGGGATTACCTAGAAAAAAATTGTAATTTACTGTAATTGATCAAATTAAAACTAGGAAGCCAGGTCTGGTTGCCAGGTCTGTAATACCAGCACTCAGGAGGCTGAGAAGGATCTTCAAGAGTTTGAGGCTACCCTCTGCTACATCGTGAGTTCAAGGCTGGCTTGCACTCCATATGGAGCTATTGTCTTAAAAAAATGAAAAACAGAACATCATCAGGGTGTAGTGCCTATAATTCCAGCCCTTGGGAGGCTGAGGCAGGAGGATCACTTCAAGTTCAAGGCCAACCTGGGCTTCATAGTTAAGACCTTATCTCAACAAAACAAAACAAAACATCAATCTGGTCTATGTTGTAACTCAAAAATGAGGCAGGCTCAAAAGTTTAAAAAGTGCTTTATTTTAGCTGGTATCCAGCGGCAACACCCGGCACAAAGTGCCTAAGTGCGCACTGAAGGGGGGGAGTGTGGGGTTTATAAGCTGAAAACCACAAAGCAGGCGCAGGTGCGGGGGGTGGGGGGAGACAACTCGGGAAGTTCAAAAAGTCATGGCATCTGTTGAGACTAAATATGGTTATAGGTCTGGAGTGGGCTTGGGAAACAGAAGTCACACTGGAACTCAAGGGTGGGATGGGGGCTTCAGGAAACAGGTGTTCTGTGAGACAAAGCACAAATTGGAACTCAAGGATGGGGTGAGGGGCTTGGGAAGCAGGAAGTCACATTTTACAGCAGCTGACATGGTTCACTAAGAAGGCGCATACAGAACAGGATGGCGGCGCTTTGGTCAGGTTATAACAGTCTACAGCATGAAAAACTTTGAATTAGTAGTCAAAGATTTTTCCTTAAAAAACAAACAAACATGGGGCTGGTGAGATAGCTCAGCGGTCTAAAGCACTTGCTTAGGCAAACTGAGGCAGGCACAGACCACGGTTCAATCCCCAGCACCACATGCCATGCCAGCTGCGCCCTCAGGGCAGGCTGAGCTGGCCACAAATAAATAAACAATAAATTTGGGTGTCTGTTTAAAAAAACAAACAAACAAAAACACCTCCAGGCCTAGCTTCTATGCTGAGTCAGCCAATCTCTGAAGAACTGTGATTTCAGATTTGTACGAATTCTTCCAAAGTATCGAGTAAGAGGCTGGCACAACCTTGGTACTAAATCTGAGAAGGTTGAGACAAGGAAAGAAAATTAGGACCAGGGATGTAACTCAGCAGCACAGTACCTGCCTGGCAAGTGCAAGGCCCTGATTTGATTCCTGGTACCAAAAAATTTTAAGAAAAAGAAAGAAAAGAAAGTTAGAGGCTGGTGTCATTTGGAGAATAAATGCAAAAATCATTTCTATAATATTACCATAGAGTTTAAAATCAATGAGTAAAACAGGGTAATTCCATAGCCAGGTGTGGTGGTGTATATCTGTAATCCCAGCACTTTGAGAGGCTGAGGCAGGAGATTGCAAATTCAAGTCTCACCTGGGCAGTTTAGTGAGCCTCTGTTTCGGAACATGGCTGGGGATGTAGCTCAGAACAAAGGCCCTGGGCTCAGTCCACAGAACTGCAAACAAAAAGAAAGGAAGGGATCACTCCTTGTGACCAAGTTGAATTTATCCCAGGAATGCAAAATTAGTTCAACATTAGAAATTCCCTTCATGTCACGAACCCCATCCATAGATTAAATGGGATGTTCAGGATCAACAAGCGTTCAGCAGCATCTCTGATGTCACCAGTGTCTCCTTGCTATCATTCCTGGGAAGCTGAAGGACAAACAAAGGATGAGCCTCTGACCCCTCTTGGCCCAACCTATCCCTGAACTGAGGATGCCTCAGGCCCAGCCCCCTGGGCCACTCAGAGTCCCAAAAGTGCGGCTTCAGGAAGTTAATCTGACCAACTTCCTACCCGGTTTCCTGCAAGCTGTGATACTTGGTGTAGGGATTTGGTGACATCAGGAGCTCTGGACAAAACTTCCTTTAGTTTGGGCAACATCTTTCTGGAGCACCCGCTGTAGCCCAGCTGCTGAGGATAGAGTTAAAGACCTGGGGGAAGTGAAGAGAGGGCTGAACTGGCAGGAGTGGCTTGTAGGCTGCAGTCTCTGCCAGCCTCTTGCCTTGATGCTTAGATTTCTCCCCTTGGGCAGGGGACGGCATTGGTGACATCCGGGAAGTGTACTTCTGAAGGACCCCTGGAGTGTTCAGGAGTAGACAGAGGAGGAGAGCTTGGGGTCTGGAAGGTCAAGCTCACTGGAGAGGTGTGTCGTCCCCCCCTTTTCCTGCCAGGTGAACTCTATGCTCAACACATTCCTGTCTTTTTAAAAAAATATTTATTTGTTTGTGTGTGGCCAGCTCAGCCCACCAGGGGGCTGGCTGGCATGTGGTGCTGGGGGATTGAACCCCAGTCCCTGTGTCCCTGTGCTTTGCTAAGCTTGTTCTAAGTAGGTGCGTTAGACCACTGAGCCATCTCACCAGCCCCACAGTCCTGTCTTGCCAGAGGTCTTCTTGGCAGATGAAAAGGGGTTTATTTGATGACTATGAGAGACAAACGCAGGGAACTGTGCAACTCTTCCGATTTGTTCATGTTATAGCAACATTTATTTTTAAGTTACGTTGAGTGTATTGTTATTAAAAAAAAAAAAAAAAAAAAAAAGCCGAGAGCCCTGAAGTAAAAGTATCCCGGATACGATAGTTGGGCCTGTGGTCCCAGCTATTCAGGAGGCTGAGGCAAGAAGACCATCAGTTTGAGGCCATCTTAAGTGACTCAGCAAGAGACCCTGTCTCAAAATAAAATTAAAAGGCCCAGGAGGGGGCTGGTGAGATGGCTCAGTGGTCTAAGGCACCTACTTAGAACAAACTAAGCTAAACAAAGCACAGGGACCACGGTTCAATC